TCCTTATTCATTCCTGGTCAGTCTGGGTAAGTTTTACTAAATTCATTTGTCTTTCAGAGAATCAGCTTTTGGCTTCATTGATGGTTTCTCTTGCTTTTCTGTCTTTCATTGCATTGTTTTCCACTCTTATCTTCATTATTTCCTCTCTCCTGTTTACTTTGTGTTTAAATTGCTCTTTGTTTTCTGATTTCTTAAGGTGGAAGCTGAGGTCACTGGTTACAGACACTTTTCTAACACAGGTATTTGAGTTATAAAATTCCTCCTAAAATTTTTAAGATGTTTTAGTAGAACCCAAAGAATTCTTTAAAAAATGTTTAATGTCTCTCCCCCCTCCAGCTTTATTGAGATACAACTGACATACGTGTACATTGTGTTATGTAATATTTTTAATTTCTCATTTAAATTTTGCTTTAACTCTATTCCCTTTAATCCTCTTGGGATTGATGATTTGGTTGGAAGTAAATCTGTTCCCTATCACTCCTTAGTCAGAGGCAGAAGCTGGCAGTGCCTTTGTTTTCACAACCCAGCACTGGATATTAAAATCAATGTATTGGGTTATTACAAGCATTACAAATAAAATGGCATAAAACAGAAAACAAAAATTAGTGTATTTCATGTATTAAGAGTAAGTTTTGTTTTGTGAAACTTCTTTTAAGTTATATGTATGTATGTATGCATGCCTTGGATTGTGATATGAAAGAAATTTTATGCTGTGGATCCTGGTTAAAAAAAAAAAAAAAAAAAAAAAAAAAGCTTGAGAAATGTTGTTCTAGACAGCATGGTCCAGTACAGGCAAGAGTTGCAACACTCAGTCTCCACCTTTGGTGTAAAGAGTTCATGTGATTTGGGGGAAATTACTTCTATTTAATTTTGTCCATCTAAAAAATGTTCATTATCTCCTGTCTGAGAATTCCTGAAATCTCTGTGCAATATCTCATAGTTCTTAGAATTGAGTTAGATCAATCATTTTATCAATCAAGAAACATTTATTGATTGCCAAGTGTGTTTTAGGCACTGTGCATGCTAATATTGAGTTACCAGCATGAGTAAGAGGGAGGCCCTCGCTGGCCTAGTACTAGACTATACGTGGCTACAAGAGGAAGCAGGAAGTAAGGCAGTAAGAAGTGCTAGGCAGATCTCAGCACAGGGAGGATTCAGATATTGTGGAGTGTCCAGAAAGAGAGTGTTCAGAGAGATTTAATTGTTCAGAGGGACTTGTCATGATAGAGAGTGAAGAGGGCCTGTTTGAGAAATCTCAAAGCTAATTTGTTTTGCCAAAACCGTTTTGGCTCAGGGGGTAGAGCCTTGGCCTGCGGACTGAAGGGTCCTGGGTTCCATTCCGGTAAGGGGTGTGTACCTTGGTTGCGGGCACATCCCAGTGGGAGGTGTGCTGGAGGCAGCTGATTGATGTTTCTACCTCTCTGTCCTTCTCCCTTCCTCTCTGTAAGAAATCAATAAAATATATTAAAAAAATAAAAAGCTAATTTGTTTCATTTTGTTCATTACACACACACACACACTTTAATAATTACTATGTCTTTGAGATGTAGCAAAGGACAAAAGTATCCTGCCTTCAAGGAGTTTGCATTCCACTAGGAGAAATATAGTAAACATTACATATAATAAGTAAGTAAATGATCTGCTAAAAATGGCAAGGACTATGGAAAAAACCAAGCAGGTGAAGGGTAATTAGAAGTGGGTCTGCCAGTTCTAATTTTATATGGGAGATATTTGATGGAGGTATATTTAGAATCTAACAGTAGTATATATTATAATACAAATTCTAAAAATATTCTAACATAATTAGAATCTTGATGTTGTATTTACACTTAGTGGCCAGTAGGATGCAAAGGGCCATTTCTGAGGAAAATGGGGTGAGAGGGGGTTGTGAGAGAGAGATGTGGGCAATTATGCACTCACACTCCTCCCAGGTGTCCTGTAGGGGCATCTCCACCAAGGACATAGGCAAGACAGGCAGAAGAGTGTTAATGTGTGACCTGGACCAAGAGGTTTTTGCCCTTTGCTTCCCCTTTTTAGCAAGTCATCACTCAGCAGGAGTTGGTGGCTGAGCAGAGAAATGAACTTCACCCTGGCCTTTCAGCATCCAAGAGGTGTCACAATCCAGTGATGGTGGAGAGAGACAGACCTGCTGGCCTTTTGTTCCGGCCCTGCATACAGATTGTGTGTGTGTGTGTGTGTGTGTGTGTGTGTGTGTGTGTGTGGTTACACTCATCGCTGGGGATCTGTATAAAAACCCCACTGGATGCTTTCTGTTCCTTTGTACTGTTTAAAACGTCATGGAGATTAAAGCATTTACCTGGACGTTCGGCTATTTCGATTCTCCCACCCAGCCTCTGTGGGCAGATGGGTGATCATTCTTATCATTTGGGCGAGATCCCATCCGGTCGCCCTTCCTGGCGCTGTGAGCTGCCCGCCTTTCACTCAGCCGGACAAGGGCGCTCAGGCCTAGGAGGTTCCGCAGGTTGCGCATCTGGCGCCTGGGCCCGCCCAGAGCAGTGCCCGCCTAGGCCGGGGCGCTTGGTTTGTGCTTTCCAGCGTGCTGGGCGCTCTCTCCCCGCGCGGGGGCACCAGAGCCCTCGGAAGTGCCTGGCACTGCGGTGCATTTTCCCAGTCCCTTTTAAATGACTGCGGAAAAAACAGCCTCGCTGAGCCGCAAATGGGAGGACGGATTCACAGACCAGGCTTGCAAATGCCCCCACAGCGATCACAGCCATCCTTTAACTGAGCCCACAGAACCGTTATGATTTGTCATCCGACCCTCCGGGATCGCCTGGTTTGTCTCTAGTGAGACCCGGAGGCTTTGGTCCTGCCGGGCTTCTGGGTAGCTGGATGCCTGCGGTGCTCTCGGTATAGCGCGGGCGCAGGGCACGCGTTTGCGCACACTCGCGCTCCTAGGAAAAACGCACCAGGTAGGGCAGGGGAGCAAGGGCTTTGGGTGCCCCGAGTCGGGGTGGGCATCGCGGGGAGTGAGGTTCCGATCTGGGAAGGGCTGCATCCTGACAAGCTGACGGGTGAGAGAGAAAATGACGCGGCGCCACACATCGGACAGGCCGGGGCTGCTGCCGCGCATTTAGGGAACCCGATAGGAGCCGGGCGCGCTCCCTTCCCCGCACACGCCGCCTCTATTTCCCGGGAGTGCGATGCCAGAAAACAACAGGAAAAAAGACCCACGTAGGGAGCTAGAGACTCCCCTCCCTCTATCTACCAAAGCACCAACAGGAAGACCCTCCAAAACCACCGGGTTTCCCAAAGCGATGTCCCCGAATGGGGGCGGTTATCCTTGATTACAGATGCCGAACACGTTTTGGCGTTTACAATATGTATTTATTTATTTTTTTTTTTTAGCTCGCCCTCCCTTTTAGGCAGGGTGGGAAATGGAGAACGCAGCGGGCAGGGAATTCTCCTGTAATAGGAATCAGCGTATTTTTCACAGCTGAACCGAACCGGGTTTCCATTTAAAAAAAAAAAAAAAAAAGGAGACGGCCTCTGGTGAATTGTGTAGAAGAGCCCGCGGTGAGAATTAGGAACTGGGAGGCGTCGGGCGGCGGAACGGTCCATCTCGGAGGTACCAGGATCTAAATGCGCGCACACAAACGCACACACACGCGCGCACACACACGCACAGGCTCACAGGGACACACATACACACACACGCACGCACGCACGCGCGCACGCGTCTACACAGCCTGGCTGTGCGCGTGTGCGCGTATGTGCGCGTATGTGTGTGAACTCCCACATGCTGCTGCCGCTGCCGCCTGCTCCTGGCCGGTGGCACCGATGCCTCCCTCCTCCCCGCGCGCCCCCAGATTCCCCTCCCCTCCCGGCTGCTGCGGCTGCTTTTGTCTGGAGGGTATTATGGGCTCGTGTGTGTATGAGCGTGTGTGTTTTTGGATTTCAGGCTAATTTTCTGGAGTTTCTGCCCCTGCTCTGCGTCAGCCCTCACGTCACTTCGCCAGCAGTGGCAGAGGCGGAGGCAGCGGCGGCGGCGGCGGCTCCCGGGATTGGGTTGGAGCAGGAGTCTCGCTTCTGCTCCTTGGCGTGCGCTCTCCTCTCTGCGCTCCGTGCTCGGCGGCGGGAGAAGCCTGGACCCGGGCGCCGCCGGCAGGCGGGAGGCGCGGAGCCGGGTGAGCAGCATGGACAGTGCCCTCCGTGGTGTCGGCCCTCACTGTCCCCCCCTTGGGGCGGCCGAGGCGGCTCCCCAGGTGGGACGTGCCGCGCCACCTGCCCGCGCCCCCTGCGCCCAGCAGCGGCGGCGGATTCTGCAGCATCATTGGGGCCCCATCTCCAAGCCGTTGGTGGCAGCGGCAGGCAGGCTCGTCGTCCCCCCTTTTTAAAGGGTCTTTCTCCTGGCCTGTGCCATGGAATCCATGCTCGGGGACCCTTGCCCTAGCTTCCCAACCCCTCGACTTCAGACTTGGAAAGAGGCATCAGGGCCATCGAGAGGGGCAAGTTTATTTCTGGGGTGGGAGCTGGGCACTCCTCTTCCCACAGTCCCTGGGCTGGGGTTGGGGTGGGGGGGACGAGAGCCCCAAAAGGAGAGTGTGTGTGCCTCAATTCTTGGGGTCTGGGGTCCTGCGCTCAGTCTTACCCATGTCTGTTTGTCCTCAGCCCCGAGGTGCGTCTGGGATCTCCGTGTGTGTCTAGCGAGGAGCCTGCTCAGTCCCGGAGAGTCCCCGGAGCCCCGCGGGCTGGTGCCCGGCGTGCCGGGCCATGCTGCGGCGGCCACAGCGGAGCTCCTAGCGGCGGTGGCGCCCCCTGCGAGGAGGCCAGAGATGCCTCTGCCACTGTGAGCGGTGTTGCCCGCCAGGATACGCTCAGCCCCGGACACGCTGGGCTGTGCGGCCCCCTGCAACCCACACCGCGGAGAGAGAGCGGCGAGCGCGGCCAAGACCGCCCAGCACGGGCAGCGGAGGCCCGCCGGCCGGTGCAGCGCAGGGACACGTACTCAGTCTGACTGGGGCTGGCACAGGCGGCTAGCTATGTCGTCCTGGATGAGGTGGCATGGACCCGCCATGGCACAGCTCTGGGGCTTCTGCTGGCTGGCTGTGGGCTTCTGGAGGGCCGCTCTCGCCTGTCCCACGTCCTGCAAATGCAGCGCCTCCAGGATCTGGTGCAGCGACCCTATTCCTGGCATCATGGCATTCCCGAGGTTGGATAACACGGTGGATCCTGAGAACATCACCGAAATGTGAGTTCCTGGTGCTCTCCTTTCTTCCTTCTCTCCTGGCGAGTCTGTCCTGGGCATGGATGTTGTCTCCAGTCTGGGGAGAAGTCAGAGATGAACGCGCAGGGCTGGGCCACCTGTCAGTAAGCTGTCTGTTTCACTGGCCTGGGGCTGATAACGCGGGGAGAAGTGTGACAGTGTAAAATAAGTTTTAAATATAGTCTATGGGAATGACAGACTTGTGGGAAGGCATTCTATAGGCACTTTATATTTCAAAGTCTTGCTGGGAGTGTCTTAGGTTTTCCATATGCAATAACTTAGTTTTGAACATTTTTGTGTCCTAAGATGCTATGTGTATGTTCGGGTTAGGAGGCGTTCTAGTACTATTTACTGGAAAGGAGGTTAAGATAATTAACTTTTTAAAATTTGTCAAAGGAGGTTAGAGTCTCCCCCCTAACATCCTTTTCTGAGGTTTGGAGATGACCCCTGTCCCTTTTCATTTTATACATCAAGGTTTTACTTAGGAGATTGCCTCCAGAGATGGCCTTGAACATGATCTGTAAGAGGAGAAGTTCTGAGTGTTGAAAAGCACTTGCTCAAAAGGGAAAATGTGATCGTTGGAAGCCTAAAAGCCTGGTCTGATTTAATTTGGAATTGACTTCTCAGAGATATAATTTTAAGACCATTTGGATGATAAATTTTAATTGTCCACTGAATAATTTCTCAGGACAAGGTTGGATGATGAAGCCTTGTGTAGTCCTCAGACGAATGCTGCCTCTAGCATGCGACCCTAGGTCCCTGGCAATATTTGAACTTGTTCTGATCTGACGGAGAAGCAGAATCGTCTATTTCTGTCTCCTCTTTTTATGCCTTGTGACAAACACATCAGCAAGTAGGAGTTCAGCGGTCCTTCCTCCAGCATTCTCCTATCAACTCTACTAGAGGTGTCCCCCCTCCCCAACACTGCCCTTTATTCCATTAACAGGAGATTTTATTCATCCACATAGAGGGCTGCAATGCAAAGTTTCTCTTACGTGTTTGATACTAAGATAGGCAGTCCTGAAAGTAGGGCTTGGGCTGTGGCCTTCCGGTTGTCGAGTGCGCATGCATATTTCCCCCCCACAGAAAACGCACACCCTGTTTCTCCCAACGTGTGACCGAGATAACCTGTTTTTTTCTTCATGTAAGTAAGAGACCCTCCTAGTCTCTGTTTGTTCTACTGGGGATGTTCTTGTTATAAGGCTCAGGCAGAAGGAAGTGACAACAGAACGGAGGGGAAACATGCTGGCCTAGCAGTACTGAGATGTGCAGGGAGCAGCCAGCTGTCAGGCTGGATCCAGGATGCTCAGCTCTCAATCTTTCAATCGTTTTTGTTTTTTCCCCCCAGGATAGCAGCAGTCAGGGCCTGAGGTAGGGCCCTGGCCATGCTGACCCTACGCTGGCCCTAGGCCCCCAAGCTGGTCAGAGTGTCTGTGGTTTTTTGTCAAGTTGTGTCTTTTACATGAGATGGGGTGTCAGTAGTCAGATGGAGAAAGCCATATAGAATTCAGAGCTTTTCAGACTATTTTGTGATCAGGGGGAGTGCTTTTGTCCAGTTAGATGTGGTTTTATTGTTGTTTTAAAAATTCTGTCTTAGGCAATAGATAACCTAAAGAGGGAGAAAATGAGATAAAGCTAGTCATTTTCATGTTAACATTTTTTTCATTTCATATTTTAAAATCACAATCAGAGAAAAGGACACTAAAACTCTTTTTAAATTTAAAATGTTATTTTAAATCTTAGTATGCATAGCTGCCCAAGATAGAGGAAATCAATAGATATGTGCAGAGTTTTCTTATATTAGTCCTCATAATTGCTGTTGTTGCTGTTTTTTTTATATCCAATGGATTCCTATTTTCAGGCTTTTTAAAATGGATTTTTTGGTTATATTTACCAAAGCACTTGTCATTCAATAATGGCACTCCTAATTTCTACTCTTGTTTTTTATCCTTTGGTTTGGAAATTTGTTGAAATTAAGATAATTGAGAGGTATCAATGCTATAAATGTTTAGGATGGGGAATTAGACTGGTCAATGGGAAAAACTATGCTCCCCGCTCTGTCCCTCAGCTTTGATTGAGCCCAGCCAGTTTGAGCCCCAGGTGTTCTTATCTGTAAAACATATCGAAATTCTTGTTTAGAAAGCACTTAGTATCATCATTTTGAATTCTGTTGTTTTGATATCAAAATGACATCAGTGGATGAGCTTGTTTCACTCTCACCATCTGTGTTCTTTTTCTTACATATTAATATTTGCTTGAACAGCTTTTCAATTCTTGGCCAGTAGGTACCAGCTACAGTTGGAACCAAATTATACTTTTTTAAAAAACTTGTTATCAGTCCCAAGGGTATTCCTAAAATAACATGTTTCAAAGTTCTGGTTTAATGGTGCTTAGCTAAACTTACATGTTCCCATTAAAAAAGTAGGAATAATATAAGTAAAAAAACTGAAGCAACAGTTGATTGTATCATTTAAAAATAGCATATATTTTAATATCTATACATTGAGGGAAAATATAACCACTGTGCCTTTTAGAATTCAGAGAAAGGTCATGGTAGAACATGAAAAAATATATGTATTGATTAAGAGATAAGTTTATTTTTGTTTCTATAAGCATATTGTAAGTCAAGCTGACATTTTGTTTTGAGAGTCAGTGTTTGACTTTATTTTATGAAAAATCTCTCCATTCCTGTGTCTGTGTCTCATACTCTTTATTCACTAGCATGGTCTAGATCTACACCTCTCTGTCTATAGATATGCATTACATTTGTCTATCATCACACTGCTGAGAAGTGCCCCCTTTTGTTGTTTGGTTATGGTTTTTCTGAAGCTATACTAAATTCAGTTTAAAAATAATACCATTGCCACATATATGTGGAATTCAAGAGTTAAGCCTGTTGTTGGAATTATGTAACTGGCCATTTAAGTCTCAGTTTTATCAGGTGCCAAATGCATTGCAAAGGACAAGTTTTGTCTCACAGAAGTGGTAAGAGGCATGGTTAAAATAGGTCAGGCATTGTAGTTTTATTGTGGTCAAAAACACATAATATAAAAATTGCCACCTTAATTATTTCTTACTGTACCATTCAGTGGTGTTAAGTATATTCACATTTTTGTGAAAGGGAATGCATTTTTATATTGTCTATATTTTAATGAAGACCGATGATGATGACCTTTTTCTCTATTTCTTGTGTGATATCTTCTGATTTGGGGTTAATATTTGGAGACAAGTGTAGTATTTTTCCTCTCAGTTCAGCACAAATAGAATTTTCAGTTTCTGCTGCCAGAGCTATGTGCAATTTATTGCTGGCTTGGTTAAGCGACTGTAATGTTATGTCATTAATACATTGATTTTGGCCCTCTCACCTTAGTAAGCTTTTCCATTGCAATTAATTGTACTAAATAAAAGTCCTGGCATTTACAAGAATTCAGTGAAAGGCACCAGTTTTATATGACTCTGATATTTACTTCTCAGCCTCTCCATGCTTGAATTGAGCTTTATATGCATTTAAGAACCTCGGAGTAAGCTTTGAGTGCGGTTACATAGGCCACACTGGGCTTGTTAATAAATAAGGCAGGCTAATTTATGTCATTAATTATTTAATACAGCTTGCAAGCTCTTGTTGAAAACCTGCTGTCTTCCTAGTGAAGATATTTTCAGAATTCAGCTCAGCACAACAATGTGGAAGTCTGAGTTTCATACCTTCCATCTCTGCATTGTGGAGGCTTTTATTACATTGGGTCAAACAACTGAAAAGCCCCATGACCCTTCTGACCCTACTTTCTTCCACCTCCCTCTTCTCCCTCATCGACTATCCAGGAAAATGTATTTGATTTTTTTTTTTTCTTCTCTGAAAAGTGATATTTCCTTATGGGAACTCAGAGCTTTGGAGTTAAAGAAAAGCCTGGGTTATACGTTATTATGAACAAGTGATGGGAAGTTACAATAGTGTGGTCACAACTCCCCAGTACTGAGTTTAGCCTTGTTTTAGATCCGCCACTGTTTTTATCCCATAAACCTCTGCCTGTTTCTGTTTCAGTATCCCCCTGTAAAGACATTTTCTAAGCTGAAAAGTTGGCTGAACAGCTAAGAGTTGAGGTCTCTTTCTCCCTGGGAACATTCTGTATGATCTCTTTGACTATATCTAGGTCGTAGGAGCATAAAACCTAGAGTTTTTGTTTAGCTGGGAAAGGAAATAGAATTTCTTTTTTTCCCCTTTTCCTTTTTCTTTTGCCTTTAGTACTAAGCAAGTGCCTCTACTATTAACTCATTGCTCACCTTGCCTGTAGAGAAAGAAACATTTGCAAACCGTGGTTGAATATTCCACACCAGCGTTATTCCTAGATTAGCTTTGCCACTTCTCTGGCAAGTTTCTGATAGGGTAAAAAACTCTATGGTGAAATGTGGCATTGAACCTGCTGCCCTTTGGAGCAGTGCCACATTTTTGTTCCTCTTGATATCTATAAATCAATAGAATGATTTTTTTGTGGGAGAGATTATTTAGGCAGCTAAGACTTTTTACTTGGTTGATGTATGAGAGAAAAGAAGAGAATAAAACTCAACTTTGGATTATTAATATCTGATTAATCATTTTCATAAACTACTTGGTCTAGTCACTTGGTCTAGTGAGTTTAAAATCTCCCCTCATCCCCCCGCAGGTGGCAGAGATCGGAGTCCCACAGTGGCCTGATAATTTTAGCTCTCCATTTGTTTGCTGATTGATTTCCATTAAGAAAGCCAATGATCCCACATGATCAGGTGTCTTCTCACCACTTACTTTGCTCTCTGGGATGCCCAAATGACTGAGAAGTCATAAATATTGATCTGGGAGATGAAGGAGTGAATGGTTGTGAGTGATATAAATCTAGGAAGAAATATGATGCATAGGTATGAAGTTTACATGTTCCACAGGACCCTGTATGAGATAGAAAACTGGAGTGAGGTGTTACCTGGTCTGGAAATAGCCCCTTAATGTCTCTGGGCCT